CGTTTCCATGAATTGCTATTCAGGAAGAGTGCAGTCTTATTTCTGTTATTCGTAGAACTAGGGCTGTATCTGGTTTCCACAGCTTTATTCTTATGCTTGTCATTTGTTGATTTAGTTGCGATTTACCGTCACTATGTAGTGCTGTTTTAGCCATCTCAATCTTGTTTTGACCTATTTTGTTCTCTAGCTGAGCACTTCAGGTAATCCGGAAGGATCATGAAGCTGGTCGAGTCCAACGATACGGTCGATTTCCCTGATGGTGTGACATTTACCGTCAAGAACCGCGTGGTTCATGTTACCGGACCTCGTGGAACCCTCAAGCGCGACTTCCGTCCATCTTCACATGGAGGTGAGTCAAGGCAGAACTATTTCTTTTTTAGGCACTATCCACTATTACAACCCCAAAATCTCAAAATTTTATTTTCGTCGAAACTTCGCCTATAGGGGTTATTCGATGCCCTGATTACGAAAATGACATTCATTTTTGGCGCTGGCGCCATTGGCGCCAAGGCTGTTTTCACCAAATTCGCTGTAAACTTGCATATAGGGGTTATTTGGGGTCCTGATTACGAATATGACATTCGTTTTTGGCATTTGCACTGTTCAACGCATATTTTCCTCTTCCTGGGCTCTCTCACTATACATATTACCTAGGACTAAGCTCAGGCGGAAGGGCTCCAGGCTGGGTGAACGTGTGGCAAAAGTTGAAGCGTATAAGATCACAGGATGAGTGATTACTCACTTCGGCACTCCTCTCCCCAAAGGCTTAGTCCTGATCGCGAGCTAATCAGTGAGAGGGCGCAGACGAGCGGAAAATAGGCGCCAAATGGCGCAGGCGGCAAAATGAATGTTATATTCGTAATCAGGACCCCAAATAACCCCTGTATACAAGTTTACAGCGAATTTGGTGAAAATAGCCCTGCGAGGAGTGGCCGATGTCAGACTTTGCGATTGGAGCGATTGTGCACAAATTGCAGGAGCGACGGATCGCTTGAGCGATCCATCGCTGCGAGCGACGGGAGATTTACACGGCCGACCAACGATAATTCGGCGTCATCAGCTCGTAAATGTCCCGTCGCTCGCACTGCGAGCGACGCGAGATTTACACCGCCAACCACCGATAATTCGGCGCCACCAGCTCGTAAATCTCCCGTCGCTCGCAGATAAGTGCCTTGGCCGTTGTGGCAGGGAGCTGCGAGCGACGGGACATTTACGAGCTGATGGCGCCGAATTATCGTTGGTCGGCCGTGTAAATCTCCCGTCGCTCGCAGCGATGGATCGCTCAAGCGATCCGTCGCTCCTGCAATTTGTGCACAATCGCTCCAATCGCAAAGTCTGACATCGGCCACTGGTGCCAATGCCAAAAGAGAATGTCATTCACGTGATCAGGGGATCGAATACCCCTATGGGCAAAGTTTTGACGAAATTTGAGCTGTTGGGATTGTTGGGGTTGTAATTGAATAGTGCCTCTTTTTATTTTATTTGATCCTTGGTTCCCATCTCAAGAATCACCTGGCTTGGTTATGTGGAGGGAATCTATTGTACGTCGTTGGAAAGAGCTCTTCAAAAGCTGTATTAGTTTTTTTTTGTACACTCAACCTATGCATTCAGATGGAGCGTGTTGGTAAAGAACCAACTGCGTGTGCGGAAGTGGTTCGGAGTTCGCAAAGAGATTGCTGCGATTCGGACGGTGTGCTCTCACGTTCCAAAATATGGTGAAGGGTGTCACCAAAGGTTTCCGCTACAAGATGCGATCCGTGTACGCTCATTTTCCTATCAACGTCACCCTCCAAGATGGTGGAAGAACCGTTGAGGTATTTGAGTGAATTATATGAGAATACTTCTCACTTTTCGCTTTTTTTGTTCGATGTGTTCTTTGTGATATCTTCTATGTACCACCGGTTATGGCTGGAACTTGATAGATTCGTAACTTCCTGGGAGAGAAGATTGTTCGCCGTGTGCCTCTTCCGGAGGGTGTCACCGCCACATTGTCCACTTCACAAAAGGACGAACTCATTATTGAAGGAAACGATATCCAACTGGTATCTCAAGCTGGTACGTTCACAATAAATGTCCTTGATATCAGTTGATCACTCATGGCTCTCAAAATTCAGCCGCTCGTATCCAGCAGTCTACATCTGTCAAAGAGAAGGATATCCGTAAGTTCCTCGATGGAATCTACGTATCGGAGAAGACCACCATTGTTCAAGAGTAATTGTTGTCGATTTTTGTTGATAAATTGTTATTTAAGGAGGTATCCATGGCTACGGTGAAGTGGTAATGTGCTTGGTAAAATGTTTTAGTCAATCCCCACAGCTAACTTGTTGACTTTTCTTTGATCAACACTTCCATTGCTATAGGAAATATCACCGATTCTGGGTCCAGTTACCCTTCTAAACAAGGACAAAAGGCGAAATAGCTTTGGTGAAATTTGTTGCTTTCTTGTGAAGAGAAGGTCTGTTTGGATGCGATAGTATAGCTGTGACGCTACTAAATGACAGTGTAGAAGCTCTGAGAACACTCTTCAAAAGCCTCTTCACATTTTGAGTTGTCGCACTTGGGTAGTGTGCGAATCCGATGTATTTTCAAGCATTCCATTTTCTATCTCATAAGTATCTAATGGCGCGGTGCTTGGCAAATGAGGTAGAATATCGTGGTGTTATGATTCGTGCGGATGGCGGTGTTATCAATTCTAGACGAGGATTCTTCGAAGCTAAGTGGTATGGGTTCATTTACCATATGGATGGACAAGGAAACAATTGTAAGCGAGGGCAGGGTTTTGCCAAAGTTTAGGAAAAGAAGCTCTAGAGCGGGTGAGGGAATTCCTATATGCAAAAGTGATCTTTCGGTCTTGAGAAAAGATCTTCGTGCACTCAGGACTTTTTGCTCCCATAGGCTTAATGAAGTCGCCCACGGAATTTTGTCAATTTCTTTCCAATATAAAAATGTGAGCTGCACTGCTAGAGGCAGCGTAGAAATTCCCACGCATAAAAAAGTTTTGGAAAGGCACAAAACCTCTAAATATCCGCCCCGCTACTCGATGACTGCTGGCGAGCCAATATATCGGTAAACGCGTCCTGGATGGCCGTATAGCGAAAGCACTCGAGGAATTATTCGGGTGCCTGACAGAGGACCCCTCGCGCGCGCGTAAGCAGAGTAGCGACTAGTCCAGCGCGACTGTAGTGATTTCCGTCAACAGTGAAAAAGAATATACTATTATGTACGAATCATAAACATCGCGCGTGCCGCTTTGCGCTCGTCCCGCTGAGACCGACTTTACAGTTCAGCGACGGAACCAAGCGAGAAGCGATCGCGATCTGCTCCCATCGCTTGTCCGCGTCGCCGACTACGAACCGTTGATCTGACACTGCCTCGTGCCGATGGCATGTGTCTGCCATGTCCCAAATCAAATTATCAGCAACGCGCGAATTATGGCAGGACGGCAAAATAATGGATGGAATAGGATCCATCCGAGAGTTGAAGTTATGCCATAGATTAGCCAGAACAAAAAGGTTTCCTAATGACGAAAATTCTAGGATCAAGTGGAAGTATTACCGCGACCAACATTCGTGGCAGATAAACCATGATTAAAGGCAGCTGTTACGATAGATTCGAAAAGGATTCAAATGAGACTTGATGGTGCTCAATATGACACACGTAGGCGAAACAAAGTGAATCCGTTAGGAAAACGCAGAACGGGACCCCTGTCTTGGCTGAACTTTCTCCTTCATGAACCTGTAACAGCAAAAATCAGAAATCGGACGTATGAGCGGCTTCACGGCAGTGCATTAGGTGGCAGCACCCAAACCAACGGCCCGACTGCTCCAGTTGTGCCGCTGCTGACAACGCAGCTCGTCCAAATCACCAACTAAACTAGTGGGCGGATCGCTTTTGGGGGCGGAGTGCTTTCGAAGTCCTGCTCAGCAACCAGCGCACCTTTCGTGTGAAAGCGCCACACTCGCTTCCTTGGCAGCCAAGTAACTGCTTCGTGTGGTGCATATGCTTCCCGATGCGCTTCCTCCTTATCGTAATCGCTGCCTTTAAGGCTTTCTTTGAACGAGTAATGGTTTTCTTACTTTTTTGAATAATTTACCAGAGTGAGCGCATTTTTTCATTTTTCTTATGGAGTGTGGCATTCAAGCTACCGATTCATCGGGAAGATAGAATCGTGTGTTTCCGTGAATGATTCCTTCAAGCAGATATGGTCATGAACTTTGCTGCAACTTGCGTGCAATTATATAACTGAAGAAATAAGTTCCCATACCGTGTCTAGGGTGGTCTGTGCAAAAATGCCCCTCCTAGGTAGATGGATGGCATCACTCGCGTTAATAGCAAAGTGAAAAGACTATGAATTGCATTTCGAGGCAATACTATTGAGCGTGCCCATTTTCTGATTAATTAGGGGCAAAATATATGTACCTCTGTCTCCGAGAACCAAAGTAGAGTGTGCGCGTTGAGTGCAGACCACACTCTACAAGTGACGGCAGCCTCTATAGAAAATTTGGTAACTAGTGATTCATAGTGATAGCTGATGATTGGTGGATGACAGCTGCGATTAGTAGCAACTGTTAAAGTTCAACTGCAAATGGCTACTCAGCTGTGAAAAACCATGCATTTTTGAGACCGTCGACACTGGTGCTGTGTGGTCTGCACTCGACGCGCATCTAGTTTTCGGAAACATGGAAACGTGGGTATTGTTGCTTACTGCTATGACGTAACGAAACGATATGGCAATAACTGGCAAATTCCAGTTTTTCATGCATGTACTTCCCCTCACACCCTCCTCCCCCCCACTCCCCAAGTTTTCTACACGCGCCTTGAGTCGCAAATTCTTTGCTCGCTCTGATGGGCCCAAAAGGGCTTTCTCCCTAACAAGGAGGGTCTTTCAGGGCAAGCCGCGCTTTTCGAAACGGTGCATATTGTAGGGACGCATGTATGGACCACAAAACCATGTTTCATTTTCGCTGAACGGTTTTAGTAGTACCAAAAAAGTGGAATGTTACTCTCAATGGTTCGATCCCCGTGGCGACTAAATTTTGCATTCAAGGTTGGCGGCTACTTTTGGCTTCAATATGGTCCTAATGAATATGACATCTGATTTTGACATTTAGCACGATTTGGCACCAACCCGTAGGCGCCAACCCAAATGCAAAATTTAGTCGCCACGGGGATCGAACCATTAACAGTACCTTATGCTTCTTTTTGGTACTGCTAAAACCGTTCAGCGAAAATGAAACATGGTTTTGTGTTCCCTACATGCGTCTCCTACAATATGCAAGAAACCGTTTTGAAAAAGCTTGGCTTGCCCTGAAAGACCCCCTTGTAAGTTTCAGCCCATTGATTCTCGGGCGTCATAGCCGTGGGCACCGATTCCCACGCATGTAGATTTAGCAATTACCGTGATCAGAAAATCGGCAAGCCCCCATGAGGCTGGTGTCAGAGTCCGCGATCCGTCGCAGGTTTCGCGCGGTTAGTGCGGATCGCAAAAATCGCAAGTGCCTTGAAACATTGAATACGAAACAAGTAGAGT